TGTGTCTGTAAATCCCTTCATCGAGCACATATGCTAATGCAAAACCCACAGAACGGAGCGTATTTACAGCTGTATATTTAAATCACGTCAGGGTTTTCAAAGGAAAAAACACAAATAGGATGTTTTTAAAATGCAAATTCTTTCATCTAGATACTAAAATGTAAGTTTTACATTTATTTTATTTCAGTTTAAGTTTTTATTTATTTAGTAATCATTATAGTGAATCAATTTATACTTATTTCAGTTAGTTTTTTCAGTTAGTTTTTTCATAGCAACACCTTGGCAACCACACACAACACCCTATCTTGGTGGTGAGTTTTGCTTGCAGAAAATGTAACGGTCTACTTTTCTCTCATTGCATTTCTTGTCTACTATCTATTTTTACTGTTAGCTAGAGGTGAAACTCGATCTGGCTGCGATGGACCTGACAGATCTGTGTCTGTGGTGCGGAGCCCGTCACGTAAACTTTTATACTCAAACGCAGGTGTCTGCATGTTTAGCTGACTGCGGTCAGATGCCCTCTGCTGTGGCTACAGGACTGCCTGCACAAACCAAATCATCAGGAAGAAGATTCATCCTGGCCTTTTCTCTGAAACACCAAATGTACTGTAGCACAAAGTCTGTCAGGAGGATCTTTCTTTTTTTTTTATCCGAAATTCCAGACCTCTCGTCTCTGTAGTGAGGTTTTCCCTTGCTGCGTCTCAGATGATCTGCCCGGACACGTCCTAAACCCTTTTTATGCTTTAGTCTCGGGTTTTACTGCTGTTTTTATCTCTTTGTCCCTTTGCCCAAACATTGTCTCATCCCTGAATTACATGCAATGTTTTTCTTTCTCTTTCAAGCTCACAAAACTTTGGTATTGACCTCTTTTTTTCTACATTTTCCCCTAGTGCATCTTGGGAGGTTTTTTATTTGTTCCTGTTGCTGTGCTGATGAGTAATTAAAGACAGCGTCAACCATTATAATTAGTATAATTAATCATACCACAGCACTGTTACGCTGGCATTACCACCTCAGGTGGTGCATTAATTGATTTTTAATAATTCAACTGTAAAGCCTTGTGCACACCGGGACAATTATCGCACGCGCTTGTCGCCAACATTTTTCGAGACTTTTTCGACGTGTCTTTGTGTTCATACCCAAGCAATTTTCACTGGCGATGAGCTGAGTGAATGTGCAAATTCACTCCCTGACATTAGATGGCGCGACAGCCGATTTTTGTGTTGAAAGCTCCAATCTCATTGGTCGGCCAGTTTTTAATGCAGTGCGTCAAACCAAAAAAACGAACCCAAGGCGTGTTTTTAAAAATGCTTTTACGCCTGGCATTTTGCGCGTCGGTGCATGTGCACACTCACATTGGCGCCCTTTGTTTAGTCACGAGGTGTTAAACGTCAGCGATTATCACGCGCGATAATCGTCCCGGTGTGCACAAGCCTTAAGTCATCAATTATTCTTTGCATAATATCATACCTCAACTTTTTAATATCTCAAAAAAAATCACTAAATCACTTATAAATGCATCACATTATAGAAATGATATTGTTATATGTATTTTTAAGGTTTTTCTCCTGAAGTTACTAAGCCACCAAGACAAATCAAAGGAATAGAAGAGAAAAAGTAATTGCGATTTTTCAAATTTATGAAAAGCTCCAGATTTGCTGTGCGTATTTGTAGGACTTTAAATGTATATATTAAATGTATCTAAAAAGACATTGCAATATTTAAGTGTAAAAATTAAAAAAGAATACAATGATTTTTATTATAACTTTTTATAACTTTAAAATGAAAATTTACAAAAAGTCTTAATTTCTTCATTTTCAAATGTTAAACTATTGAGCTTTCAGTTTGGCGATAAACCACGCCTTGTATCATTTATTCATTATTAAATAAATATTATTTATTTAATCTTGCAGCCCTAACTAATGTAGATAAGACCAATGGATCCTCAACCAATGGATCCTCAAAATATCCCCCCATGCGCCTTACTTTTTGATTATTTTACAAACATGGAATATAATTGCAGTAATTCTAACAGGTCTAAATGCATTTAACGTAACTCATAACTAAAGAGCTTTTGACTTCAGCGGTCAGGGGGCATCCTGAAAGATTTTGTTAAATCTCCGTCCTAAATTTGCCGTAATGTTCTGATAACAAATCAGTGTCTGCTTATGGTATCTCACATCTAATATGCTTTATGTAGCAGCCTAATTGCTGCTGTGAAGAACTAATTAATTCCATCTCCAAATTAGAGTAATTTAACATCTGATTAGTGTGAGCGTATCTGTTTCTAAGCAGAAGGAAAATGAAACAATTCTGTGTCTTTCCCGGGACAGATGGCGTTTCTTTGTTAATGCAGACAGTTTGTCCCATTGGTCTCAGAGTGAGACAGTGCTGCTAACCTTCACAGACCGAACATGCGAACTTGACTTCCTCTAAAAAGAGAGGGTAAGCTGGGACTTATCATTGGACTTTGATGTGTGGCTCAATGTTTGTAAGGGGTTGAATTGCCAACAGTGTACTTTATTTACTGCCGTATGGTTTTCTCTGAGTTATTTACAGTAGCAAAGCTCAGCGATGGTCTCTTCTGAACAGCAGTAGCGTCTGTAGGCAGTCAAGCTTTTTGTCTTCCTGTCATGAGGTTGGCCCTAAGAAGACGACAGCTGCACATTTAAAGACAGAAACCTCATCGACCTCAGAAACAACTGGAGAAACACAGACATGCCCTCTAATCAAAACAGGATGTTCAGACCCACGCTGACCTCATGTTTACCCCCTGAGGTCAGAGGTCAGCTGTTCAACATTGAAGTTTTGATAAAAGCTTTAAACTTGGTGTGGCACAGTAGTTATGATTGACACAAGGTCAGTGGTCAGTTTTTAAGTTGCAATTTAACAGACATTTTCTGATTGTTAATGACTAGTGCATATCAGGATTATTGTAATTAACAAAAAAAAACATAAAAAATGCAAAATTATCATTAAAATATTTTTGTTAAATACCAAGACAACATTTCTCATTTTAATTTAGTTTGACTTGATTATTATTAAAATAACTCAAACTAAAACCAAATTTAAAAATTAATGCATATATAAAAAGACATATTATTAAGACATATAAAAACTAAAACTGACATAACACAGAACACAATCACTTTAAAATGAAACTGGAAAATATCAAAATAAAAAACTGATTGAAATCTACAGATGCAAATAGATAAATGTGACCCTGGACCACAAAACCAGTCATAAGGGTCAATTTTTTTTAATTGAGATTTATGCATCATTATGCTGAATAAATAAGCTTTTCATTGACGTATGGTTTGTTAGGATAGGACAATATTTGGCCAAGATGCAACTATTTGAAAATCTGGAATCTGAGGGTGCAAAAAAAGTTTTGAGATAAGAAAAGATAGTTTTGACCCATAAAATGTATTTTTGGCTATTGCTACAAATATACCCCAGCGACTTAAGACCGATTTTGTGGTCCAGGGTCACAAATTAAAAACCTAAATATATTTCCCTCATGAACCCCATTTTGGGAAATCCTAATACAGGCTATAATTTTGGTGTGCCACTATATAGATAATTGACATTGATCTTTTTGTTGTGATACAGTAGCATTTGATGCTTTTGCAAATGGTTTCTTCATATAGCTAGCATCTAGCTGCATTTGTTAGAGATGAATATGACTTTTTGCCCATTTTCAACCCTCTCTGCCCAGCACTGTCTGTTTGAAGCTGAGATGAAGCTGTTATCTTGAAACCACCAGCCCTTTAAATGCCCTTCATTTTGCCTCTCCGGAGGGTCTCGCTGCTCCAGCAGACCTTCAACACGTCTGAAGCTTTTTCTGCATCAGATGGGAAGAGAATAAACATATTTAGTCAGCTGTTAAATGAGCGGTCACTACTGATCCTGTTATCTAATTAGATTCAAGCCATAATCATTATCCAAACTCATCTGAAGGGCTGCAGTCATGGATTTCTACAGCATAGCGTTCAGTTAATCCTTCAGAAGCCACTCAATCCATTATGTTAGGGATGGGGGAGGGTTTATGACTTGCATTAAACTGATGAAAGCACTACGTTGGAAAAGGAAGGCCTAGGAAGGGTACAGTCAACGTTTATCGCATGTGTGGTGACAGTGCTGATTCCTCAAGGCCTCATCCGCATATTCAGAGAAAAGAGATACACAGGAGTCTAATGATTCTCTGCTGTGTTTCTCATGTGAAAATCCCATGGGAGGGAGATCACATGTCGTGTTTAATGTATTTTACGTGTGAGTCAAGTGTGAACAGGTTGCTAATGCCCTACTAATGGGGTTGAAGTGCTCGGTTAGCGAGGAAACCGAGTGAAATCATTTCTGCAGAGTGAATCTGGGTTAAAATCTGATACTGCATGCTGGAGCATACAAATGACTGTATTAACAGTCCTGGAGATTCTGTGTTGATGCACACGAGTCCTTAAAATGATGCTTCAGTTGCCAGGGAATGATGCTTGAAATCATGAGTTTGGTTAATATGCAAAAATTGACCATGGTAGCCATAGCTTAAGTTTAACATTATTATTTTTATGATTAGTATTTTTTACAGATTATATAGCTATCAGTTTGTTTGTTTGTTTATTCCACAACATTAACAAAAAACTTAATACAGACACAAAATTATACATTTTCCCCACATTTTCTGCCAAAAAAAAAAATAAAATAAATAAATAAGCTGTACAGAAGGGTAAAGTGTCATTATTCAACTCAATTTAGTTCAGTGTTGATTCAGTTCAGTTCAATAACTGTGTCAGTGTTGCAAAGTTCATCAATTATGATTGTGGTTAGTGCCAAATTACCAGTTTTATATATAGTATTTTATTGCTGTCAATTTACTCTTTTTCAAAGGATGATTCTAATTGGCAAATTCTGCTTTATGTTTTTAATGTAAATTAATTCGCTAATAATTATTAATCAAATTAATAATTTTCTCATTCTCGGTTTCGTTTCTCTCACTCCTCCAGTTCTCACATCTCCTCCAGGGACGAGCGGCACGCTTCAGAAAGAGATTGAGTTGGACAGTGAGATCCTGAAAGCTGACGACACAACGGTCACAGACTCCTCCCTCATAACAGACCCTCCCTCAAAAACAGAACCAATCAAATCTGACCCGAGACCCGGCACACCTGGATCCAGCCCCAACCCGCCGACAAAAAAAGGTACAATATACCGCAGTACAAGCTTTCAGGTGTTGAATATCAATTTTGTCTATAGAATTTTTATCATTATATTGAATGAGAGAACTCAGACACATAGCAACCACCATAGCATGTATAGACAGATAGATTATTATACAAAATATATTATTATATAATTATAATATTTTTAAGATTTATTTATCATTTTAAATATATTATATATATTTTTTTTTATTATCATATACATACAGTATATATATATATTTATTTATTTTTGTTCTATTACTAGTCATTTGTTTTATTTTTATTCCATTACTTTTCATACATATATTTATATTTACCATTTTTACTAAACAAGTGAGATTTCACTGATTTCGCTAGCATTGGTAACAGTTACTAAAATTTTGTTTATTTTATAGTTGCTTTTTCACATACTCACTTACAAGAACCATTTAGAATATAAAGTACATTTTCTCTTTTGAATATGTAAAAATACAATTTTAGGAAAATATTACTGATTACGACATTTGTGATAAAACCTGTACAGTAAAAGGTTGAAAATGAGAAAACATATTGGATGAATCCATACACCCTCAGCAGTTTGATTAGTTGGAAAAGCGTTGCCTGTATATTGCATTACAAGGAGGACATGCTTAACGAGAAGAACGGATAGATGAAACACTGATGCATGAGTCTTAATTGAATGAACATCCTTTACATGTGACTGTGTGATCAGAATAATACCTGACTCACCACATTTCTCTTCAATGCTTTGAGTTAAAGCACCTCTGCGGTTAAAGAGCTGGAGTCACACTTATTTTGATTGAATCAATACACTCCTGAGGCTGAGAAGAAAATGGAAAATGTCAGTTACAAGCCTCTAAATACAGCATATGTCTTACCTACCGTGTCAGCCAGCTCTCATCAGATTAGAAGCGACATACTTTACACTTTTTGTAGAGTTTTACAAGTCTTTCCCCCCAAAAGTTTAGCTAGAATATCATCATTTTTTCCATTTCCTCCGTATTCCTTAGAATTATAGAGGTTGTTTTACTACTATACCATTAAGACTACTATACAAAAATGATAATGTGTTTGTGTTTTTAAAATATATATGTTTTTCAAATATATACTGTATGTGTGTGTGTGTGTGTGTGTGTATAATTGATATTTAATTTATGTATAATTAAAATTTTTGAATTTGTACTTAATTGCACTGTTTACTTAATTAGTATTTTATTCTATCTTAAGTTTTATTATCATGCCATTGCTTTTGTTAATATTTGTATTAATATTAAATTTTTTAAATAAAGATGTTTTCCCCCTAAATATCAATTGGAATATCAATGGTATTGGTATTGGCTACTAAAATGTTGGTATTTCATTTGCATTTCATTCTTTTGCATGGTATTTCATTTGCAAATGACATACTTATGTCCATATACATTTTACTGTCATTTAAAAGGTATGAAAAGTACATTTAAAAGCGTTATCTGCTTCTTCGTCAACAGATGGGATGAGTTCAGAGCAACGGCAGAAACAAGCCAAAAAGCGACGAGAGGAACGGGCCAAATATTTGGGTGAGACTTCATAAACACAGCTTTTGTCCCGGGACACGTTCAGCCCTGTAGAGCTAATGATATGCTTATGCCACACAAAACATTTATCTAGCAACTGAAGAACATATCAGTATAAATATATATACAGTTAAAGCTACTGGGACTACAGAGTCTGTGTGAGGCCAAATAATAATTAACCCAATTATATACTATTCTCATGTGTAATTATGTAATCAAACTTTAACTGCCAATACAAGGCCAACTGGTTTCTAATGATGTTCAGCGAGAAGCCAGAAGCATCATTTAAAGGTAGAAACTGACGTGACTGACAGATGTGCTTGTGATTTGTGTTTACTGCTGCAGAACAGCGAACTCAGGAGCAAGGTAAGATACGTCACGCGATCAATCATTTGATTAAGCGGATCGTTTCCATTTATTTCATGCCCTGTGATCTTTTGAGTCCTTTTGTTTTTCACCTTTGGTTGTGTCCAGTTTGATTCAGTATTACTTTGTCCACAGTTAAGGAATATTATTTTATATTGGTTATATATAATACATGTAATACAATGTAAACATTTTTTTTACATTTATTGCAGCACTGCAAATACACAGGCTGTCCCATGCTACAAGTGATTATGAAATACAAGCATATTTTAGCATTTCCATGTGCACCAGGCTTCATTAATCAATGCATGTGTCTCATATTCTCCACTTTTAACGATCTGATAGATCCCTGCAGGCACAGGGTGAAAAACGGGCCATCATTACAGTTCATTAAGCAATGCCTCTCTCTCTCTCAGATTAGCTGTAATTATGTTTGCCATCAGCATGATTAGCCTGCTTGGATATCAGCTCACTTTCAGCTGTACAGATAAACCACAGTTTCTGGCTGTCCAGCTGTTTATCGGTTCCACAAGTCCAGCCTTGCCCCACAGCAGCAGACTTTACATAAAGAGGTTTATTGTAGTCTGGGATGAAATGTCGTAGCTTGACAAATGCTTTGTATACAAAGACATAAACCTGGCTTAGCTGTTAGAATGAAGCGTGCGTTGTAATGCCGGATTGCTGCTGCACGGAATTTCATAGAGAACTAAATCTATTTTTTAACGCAGTCGCACTGTCATATAGCATATTGTATGAAACTAATAGGATTAGCAAGCACTGCTTAGCTCGCTTGCGGTTCACTGCAGCTTGAGACCCAGTGGTTTAAAGTGAAGGCTGAGATCATCTTACTTTGAAGGATATAAAACAGAATTGTTATATAATTTAGAAAGGATTGAAGGATTTTATGTAATTGGATTTGGAGAAAGTCAGAATTACACATGATTTTCTCAGTGCACAAACTACATGTCTGCTAGTACACAGTTTTAAAAAGTCTACATAAGAGACTATTTAAGATAATGTTAAAAGTGAATTCATGAATCTGAAATGTTGTAATATTTTATGTAGTAAGAAAGCAATGTAAAGCAATATAAAATGTAATGAACATTAGGCAAAGAGTGTATTTAATGCTCAAAAAGATAAAAATACATACTGAATGTGAAACTGACATTTTGTCTTGATTTTATGTAGTTAATAATATATACATATAGTATATACATATACACACATGCCTTATATAAATATTTTATATATACTTGTCACTGCAATGTCACTGAATTTCCTATGGTATAAAGCGGATGTGTCTTTGAAATGAAACAGGTTAAAGTTAATAAAGTGGGTCGCCCCACAAGGATCTAAAGCGATGTTGTGATTGGAAGCAGTTCCTCTGTGTTTGTATTCCTCAACTCAAATCCCATCTGGACTGCTGTGTGTGTAGATTTAGTTATGGTTGAAGGACTGAAAAACAGGAAATTCCACAGTGTGATGTCTTGTGTGTTCCTTAAATCGGGCCTGTGACCAGAACGCATCCAGCTGCCACACAGCGTGCTTGGGGTTTCAAATAAAGAGCTTTGATTGGTTTTTAATTGTTTTTGAAGTCAAACGACTGAAACCACATGAGAGAAAAATGCTGTTTTATTAGCAGTTTCATTTTCCTCAAGCAATGGATTTATAAATTTAAAAATCCAGTTTTCAGTGGAATGAACGTTAATGAATGTAAAACAATCAGTTCTGATTATAAGATAGGAAATTCGCATAAGAGATATTTTTCATATCTCATTTATTTCTGCCGGACAGTAATGAGATTTTTGCTAATTTGAGACTTTTGCTGAAGTTTCCTGCTTTTCAGATGTTTTTCTTGAAAAAGACTTCAGTGTCTGCTTGAGGTTGCCTTTGAATATGCTCAGATTTGGACAGACCAGTCTGCAATCAAGATTACAATCTTATTTGTGTCTATTTTTATTTCTCCTAAGGATTTTTAAGAGTAACATATGAGGGAAAGACACTTAAACAAATTGTTAAATAGACAAAGATGAAAATTAGCTGAAAAATTTACTCATTCTCATGTCATCCAAGATGTAGATGAGTTTTTTCTTCATAGGAGAAATTTAGATTTGGAGAAATGTAGCATTACCATTACATCACTCTCTCACCAATGGATCCTCTGCAGTGAATGGGTGCCATCAGAATGAGAGTCCAAACAGCTGATAAAAACATCACAATAATCCACAAAAAAAATCCACAGGATTCCAGTCCACCAACATCTTCTGAAGCAGAAAGCTGCGTGTTTGTAAGAAACAAATCCATCAAGACATTTTTTAACGTCAAACAGTTGCTTCTGGCTAAAATACAGGTCCTCTATGGATATTATTGCTTTCTAAAGTGAAAAGTTGTCTCATCTGAATCAGGAGAAATATGCACAAATCAAGCACCGTTTACAAGCAAAAACAAACCAAAAATAGTTCTAAATAAAATATGCCAGAATTTGTCCAAATCTGTTCTGATAAAGAAACATACTCATTTACATCTTGGATGGCATGAGGGTGAGAACATTTCAGCAAATTGAGATTTTTGGGTGAACAATTCATTTAGATGAATTGTAATTGAGAACGCTGACAGAAAATGGCATAAGATACAGCAGGCAGCATCACTCAAAAACTCTCTCTGTTCCTCTCAGCGGCCAAGAAAGCTCAGTGGTTGGAGAAGGAGGAGAAGGCACGGCGTTTGCGCGAGAGCCAGTTAGAGGAGCGCAGAAGGAAGTTAGAGGAGCAGCGACTGAAGACGGAGAAACGAAGAGCTCTACTGGAGGAAAAACAGAGACATAAACTAGAGAAGAACAAGGTATGGAGACACCATGTGCTACTAGTTGCAACCAAAATGTTCATTGAGACAGCATGACAAAATTTCAAAGAAAGGTCCATATATTATAAATATTTGATGCATAAATAATGTGCGAGCTAAACTTATTAAAAAAAAAGCTTAAGTTTCAAATTATAAAACAATTTTCATACAAAATTTTGAATATGCATTCAAAAGTTTGTGGTTGGTATGTTTTTTTTTTGTGTGTTTTTTTTTTAAAGGAAATAATTATATTCAGCAAGGATACATTAAACTGGTCAGAAGTTACAGTAAAGATGTTCATCATGTCACAGAAGATTTCTATTACGAATAAATGCAGTTCTTTTCAACTATTCTGAAAAAATGTATCACAGAAAAGTATTAATCAGCACAGCTGTTTTCAGCATTGATAATAATAGGAAATGGTTCTTGATCTGCAAATCAGCAAATTAGAATGAGATCACGAAGGATCACGCGACACTGAAGACTGGAGTAATGATGCTAAAAATTCAGCTTTGCGTTATGGTTATATATTAAAATGGAATACAGGCATTTTAAATTGTAATAATATTTTTGTAATATTTTACTGTTTTTACAGATTTAGTAGAGCATAAGCAACTTCTTTCAAAAACATAAAAAATCTAACTGACCACAAACTTAATGGTAGCATATACTGTTAAAAATGAAGATGAAAAGTGTTGTGAGACTTTCTAATTGTCAAATTTAGTATGTCCCTAGTTTACATTTGATGAACTACCAAATGAATTCCTGTACCAGGAATATAAGTGATTCAGAATCTTATTAGGATGAAAAAAATTAACCACAAGTGGTCTTGTGATTGTCTTGTTTTCTCTGCAGGAGAGGTATGAATCTGCCATAAAGAGGTCAACCAAAAAAACGTGGGCTGAGATCCGTCAGCAGAGGTGGTCATGGGCCGGCGGCTTGAACCAGACCTCCCGCAGAGAGAGTAAGTGTCATTAGTCAAACCTTACACCCTCATACAACTTTAAAGTCTAGACTTATCATTACCTTTCAAAACTATACTCAGCAACATAAAGAGAATAATATGATATAAGCTTGGAAGCTTTATATGTTGACACAACATTGCATTTGACTACAGCAGTGTTTGTTCTGTGTCCATATAGATGAGTTATAGCAGTCAGTTTGTCTTCAGTGCTGAGATTTTACTGCTGTAGATGGTTAATAGGCATCATCCTCTGGTTTTGATTTTGTTGACCCGCTTTAAGTTCATCTTGACATCAAACGTGAAGGAATAAAACCATCTTACGATGGTTTCGCCACCACAAAACTTGCTAATCATTGGCATCAGCATCATTTATATGGTTTATTTTTTGTTTTTCTTTGGTTTTTGTATGTTTTTTTATTCTTTAAAACCATTTTTTGTCTGGTTTGACTGGTGTAGCTGTGCTAGATATACTGTAAGTAGGTAGAGGACTGTGATAATATATTAAGGTGTGATTTTTTTTCTATATTATTTGACCAAAGAGCTTAAAAGAGATGTCATATTGGGATTTTAAAGGGGTCATATGATGTTGCTAAAAAATAACATTATTTTGTGTATTTGGTGTAATGAAATGTGTTTATGCAGTTTAAGGTTCAAAAAACACATTATTTTCCACATACTGTACATTATTTTCCACATAATGTACAGTATGTGGAAAATAATGTACAGTATGTGGAAAATAATGTACATTATTTTCCACATACTGTACATTATTGTTTCTCCTCTATGCCCCGCCTTTCTGAAACACGTCGATTTTTACAAAGCTCATCGGTCTGAAAAGCGAGGTGTGCTGTGATTGGCCAGCTATCCAGTGCGTTGTGATTGGCCGAATACCTCAAGCATGTGACGGAAATGTTACACCTCTTACCATATTGTGATGATGCCCTGTCCGGCCGGAGCGACGAGACAAAAACATTAAAACCCATTATAAACGAGGCATTTGTTGCATCCAGTGGGGACATAATTACGGATTATAATGACTTATACTGTCTTTTTATGCGTTGCGTTGCATCGCGCCAAGTAAACATAAAACCATGTCTGCATTTGTGATCG